TTAATCCGGAAGCATATTCAAGTTTCCGAGTCGTTCCGAGGGAATGCAGTATATCTAAAACCAAATCACTTCTAAACGCAAAGCACGAATCGGCAAGGGATCATATTTATCATCATGGAAAGTATCGCGTATAAAAGTTACAGCTGTTCGCATGACTGTTTGTCGGGGCTGGTATAAACCACCTGCACACCGGATTATGAAGTGATTTTATGTCCTCTCATGATATTGAAATCGAGCTCATTTACGCTTTTTCACTCAGAAAACACCAATCAGATAAACATTTTTTTGACTAGCATTGGCGGCGTGAAAGTCTCTCAATCCACCACTTTCCATAAAAGTCCCATGCACTGGGCAGTTTTATTTTCTTACACCACGCATCATACCTGAGCACAGGCTACTGCTGACATCATCTTTGCTTGATCTTTGATCAAACAGGCGCTGTTCTCTGCGGACGAAGTGGCGGGAGTTTGGGGAACAATGTTTTGAAGGAACAAGAGAGGAATGTTCCGCTGACAACACAACTCCACAAAATGCGTGCCCTGAAAAAAATAGCACAAATATCTATAAGTCAGCAGGAGATCATTGATCAAAGAACACTTTTCATTTAATTAACGTTAAATCAAAACGCAACCGGAGCTAATGAACTCCTGGGTCGGGTTGTTCAAAGCTGTGTTAAGATAACCCAGGGTTAGTGTGACATTTGATTTCATATCTGAAAGCTCTGAAAGAAAATTCAGCTTAATTCCATTTGTCTACAATTTGATGATTGAATGTCCTTAAAAGAACTAAGAAAACTATCCCAAAATAGCTTTTGATTAGAGAAATTTAGAAACCTGGATTAAAATTTAACCCTGGGTTAGAGCTAATCGGCCTTTGAACAACTGGGCCCTGAACTAAAAAAATCACAAAAGAGTCCATAAGGAAAAAGAAAAAAGAAAATTACTGTCAGTAGCCAATGACGTTCAGCGCAACTACACGCGCGTGAATAACTCGCAATAGGCCATCTTACAATTGTGTGCTTAGTTGCCAAGCCTTTGATTTGGAGTGAGGCCGAAGGTGACCTTGTTGCGATGGAGACCAGTATCTAGTTAGTACGATAACAAAGTAATTTAAATCTAAAAAGCAGCGACGGCGACGTTTGTATCATAGCAAGGTCACCATTAGCCTCACTCCTGTTCAAAGGCTTGGCAACCAAGCAGGCAACTGAGCCTGCGAGCAGGCTTTCATTTTAACTGAACGCTTTAGCACGAGCCTTTCTTTGCCTGTGGGAAAGTAAGAGGCCTTGCGCAACGCAAGGAGGTCTGCAAGGAGTCTGGTACTAACAATTCATTAGTACCAGACCCCCGGCAAACCTCTCTCCGACTCATCTCAAATCTTTCCGCGGGTGGAAAAAATGCGCGTCCTGCCGGGTTGCAGGCTACGATTGGTTTTTAATTTACATTTTATTGGTAAAGAGGATTGTGCGAATATTTATGGACGTCGGAAAGACATAAAGCAAATGTAATCTTTGGTTACTTCAGACAATCAATTATATACCACTGTAAAACAAAAGACATAGCCATCATCAAAACAACAATCCCCAGCTAACTTTTTCCTTTTTATATGCCTTCTTTTCCCCTGAAAAAAATTAATGCGTTTATGGGATGCTGATGGGCACACACTACAGCTCCTCGTTTTGATTTCAACTCCCAAACACTTACATATAAAGTTGTGATCTAAAGTTTTGGAAGATAGCTTTTATTGACAAAAATGTTCGCTGGTCCAACCGAACAGGAAACAATGACCAGGCTGTGGGCTCATCAAGATAACTCAAGAGACTAGTTTTAGCTGGTGTACTGATTTCCAAAGCTGTATTTTGTAAAAACATCATATAAATTTACCTTCAAGGACGCTTGAGATGTTA